AAGCCCGGGCTTGCTCACAATACAATGAATATTATGGTGCTATGAAAAGGGAGTATATTTGGATGTAGTAGATTATTACTGCGTGTACTCACTGAATTCAGCCTCCAGAAGATGTACACTCGGGGAATAAGTCGAGTCGCAGCGAAGCCCACGAGCGCGCGCCTACGGCAGGCACCAAACGGTGATGCACAATCGTGCTCGGCGGGAACCGTCGAGTCTAAAATATCAATATTATGTCTGGTATGTACATCTTAGATCTCTCCCACCTTATCCTGAACTCAGGGAACAGTAACAGAGCCGGTACACCCAAGCCTGGGCTTCCGGGCCGGGCTTGGGCTTGACTATGCTCCGAGCCCGGCCTTGAGCCCGCTGCCAGGCTTGGCTCGGGTCAGGCTTTTTGGGCCGGGCTTGGCGGGCTCGCGGGCTTTGAGGCCCGGCCCGCACATCACTACTCGCAGGAGCAGGACGGTCTCTTTGACCTCGACGGACAGCTCGTCTACAATAACCTTTCGCTTCGAGCCGTGTGAAGTCTCGGCCGAAAGGGTCCGCTCTGCTGCAGTATGCAAGGTCTCATACTTGAGCTGCTGGGACCCAAAGCGCGGCAACATGGTTCTGCGGCTGCTGAGGTCGACGTCGCGCCAGCTGTGTGGTATTCGTTTCCATTCGACACGTTCTCGCTGTTCATCTAGCCGGTCAAATTCGCTGAGTAAGAATATATGAGCAAGGTTGCGGGGCGCGTGAAACATCCCGGCAGATTGCGGATTCCCGTATCGGAGTTCTGACAGAGAGCATTAGACTGCGGATAATGAGCTAAACACTTGCATGGCTTACTCCAAATGAATAAGCGCCCTCGACAGTGTAGTAGAGCAGCATAAACTCTGCACAGCTCAGACAGAAGGGCACCAAATGCGACATAAATCCAAAGGCCGCCGTGGCCGCCCGTGCCGTCGGAGACTTGTATGGGCACCGATGTGAGAACACGGGGAGGACAGTGAAGGCAGCAACCATCAACAGAAACATCGCCGTCAGAGCCGTCAGACAGATCGCGACGATATCGTCCAAGGTCCACAGAAGGATGAGCATGCCAATGAGGAAGAGGATCATTGCGACCTCGAGCAGCGGTGGCACCGTCAAGACGACCGCCGTGACGTTCCAGGCCTCCCACGCCTCGAACCGGAACTGGCGCACCATGATGTTCTCTCGCGGCGTTGCGAGAGGTGAGTTCCACCACATGTACTCGCGCACCCACTGCTTGACCAGGATTCCAAGCAGAGCCGCAGCGAGACTGAGCACGAGGCTGATAAAGAACGGCGTGTTGATCCATCGTGCAGGGGTCGAGGGCTGGAACGGCGGCGGACCGGTGGGGGATAGCAACTGAGGAGGGGAAAATGTGGATACGGCGAGGGTGGTAGAAAATCCTTGGGCAAGGATCTGATTAAAAATCTGGTTATTTTGAGCGAGTATCTGAGTATTTTGAGCGAGCATCTGATTATTCGTCGTAAGCAGTTGGTTCGTAAGGTCGGCGCTTGATGGCTGGAGCATCTGATAGGTCCGGACGACAAATGCAGAGAGGATGGCGGAGAATAGACCAGCCTTGGCGAGTGTCAAGTAGACCAAGCATGCGAACTTCACAAATGGGGAACGTTCAACGACGAGGAGGGTATCGAGATCGTCAGAATACCTATCCATCTTTCCCTTATCATCCTTCGCCACAGTGTCCTCGATTCCGGCCCAGCAGGAGAGACCTGACGTGTCCTGGAGCGGAGAGATGCAAAGGTGAGCCGTCGAAATGAGATCCGGCTTAGACGTGTATGCGTACCTTGGCACCTGGATCCTCCGCCCGCTTTCAGCTTGGTGAGGATGACATTCGGATACACAATTCAATGCACGGTGGCATCGACGAAGACTGGTGTCTAGGTAGAATGAGAAAGAGGTGGTGATGGCTCAATAAGATGGATGTCGGACTGGATACGGGGCGGATGGGGATGGTCTACTCGCACCTCGATGCGGAAACCTTGTACGGTGCACGTGCCATTGCCTCGTGTTGACATTGGCCGCTGGGAGATCGAGAATTCGGCCGAATATTATCGCGTCGTACCTTGTCGCACCGCCAGTTCACATCCAAGCCGTCATTGGATGACAGCCATCGTTGATTGCCGGCTGCGCCATCCACGATGCGTCTGGGGCTGTCCGAAGCAGTCCTCGGTACTGCAGGGCCAGGGCGAAATAATGTGTCTGTAATCATACCGCGGGAGCCCTGGGTGTTAATACCTTGCGATTATATCCGAGTGTTATGGCGGCCGAGCTGTTGGTCCGCATGCAAATACTTTGCAACGAGGCAACGATGTACTGACAAGCACGTGTAGCAACGGATATGCGCGTGGAAACGATAACACAGGCGAACGCAGCGCCTTGTGCATGTATTCTCTCAGGAATCATACTGTAAATGAGACTTTCGGCAACAGGAAGCCACATATGTGTCTCTCTAGCGAGAGAGGAAAATGAGTCGGCATGGACAGCTGTAGAGACTTCGTCTACGGGCGGGTCCGTCGTATGGTCCTCAGGAGGCGTGTAAGGCGTTGAAAAACCAATTCAAGATAGTGGCGACCAGGAAGCAGGCGAAGAGCCCGCCGCTTTGCTACTGCCGGGGAGTGAGCGATGCGGCGGTGGTCCCAGCCCGGTGCTGACGATCGTACCCCGACGCAGACTGCCAGTTGTCATTCGCCGCTCGCGTGAGAGACGCAGAAGGCACGGCCAAAGACGCTGGTGAGACCATGCAGGCCGACTCCGCGACGCCAGGGAACGACGGTTCAGAGACTAGGCACCAGACCGGGCAACGGCTCGAGATGATGTGGACGGCTCTCAGTTGGCAGCAGCGACAACGGAAGACTGCTTGCCGGCTGAAGACGGACGGCCTCGCCCCGTTCCAGCCCAAATAGCGCCAAGCAAGCGGCTGACTGAGAAGCTATCTCCTCGGCAATTTCTACCGCAGGAGGTTGCGCTCTCCGGAGAAAGCGGCCGTGCAAACAGCGGCGCCTGTGCCAGTAACAGCTGCAGCGCAGATACTCGCCGGCCAGACACACATGCGCGGCGGCGAGGGTGCGGCGAAGGGTATAGTAGATGAATCTTGGTTCCCCGTCAGAGCGCTGTTGTAGGACACCAGCGCGAACTGCGGAGGAGAGCCGTGAAGTGCGTGCGGTTCAGCTGGAGAAGGCAGCTGCCCGAGAGTCAAGACTGGTGTACCCGTTCCGTGTACAGTCTCTATTGCCGTGGGCGCTAAATCTGTCCTGGCACCGCGAGATCGCGTTTGTGACTTCGCATGTCCCTTTTGAGCAGTGGTTTTGGCAACTTTAGCGTAATTGGGACGTTGTCTCGTCCGTACGGCGCAGGATCCCCAAAGCGGGCCCACGTGATCAGAGAACGAAGGGGCAGCGACGGAAGATGGCGGGTGGGGTGATGAAAGCGGGAACGTTAAGGCGGCGGCAGCGATGACGATGTCAACAATGCCGTCGAAGGTCTACAAGAGAGCGACCATGCTCATGTCGCGCCTCGAAGCCTTTCTGGCGCATAAGCGCGCTCCCGCGTGGCGTCACAGGGGACGAATTACGTTGCATGAACTCGCGGAGTTATTGCTTGGCGAGGATGTCGAACAATGCAGCTGAGGACAGGGTTCGTTAAGAAGGAAGCGCTAATGCACTGTGCGGGCGCTTGAGGCGGCATGAGCAGGATGTTGCAGATGGCGATGTTTATTACTAGAAAGATCGTAGGCTCATTCCCCGGGTTCGCTAGGAGCTCGATCGCGGATGCAAGCGACTTGTTGTTTGTGTTTGACTTATTCGGTCGTAGAAGTCGGTACGTCTGCGCAACGCAGGTGGTATCTCATGACAAACGACCCGCCGGGACTTGCAGAGCTCAGTTAGCGAACGAGAACTTAATAATTTCGCTAGGCCACATACAAAGACAAGCGGTGTGTTTACGTGCTCCGAATAACCTTGCACCCGCCGTCATATGTCAACGAGCACCCTTTGATACTGGCCTAGCTAGCAAGGCATGTACACTTCTAACAGTTCCATGAGTGGGCGTTTGGCGAATAGAAGCTGAATGACAGACCTTTACTCCGCGATGACTTGAGTCTGCGTTGCCGATGCCTACTCCGCAGCCTTAAGTTGAGAGTGTACGAATTGGTTGGAAAGGCGTAGCACGTCTTGCAGCAGCTTGTGAAAGACCGGAACACGATTCCCTCCAGCCACCCGTTAGGACACGATGTGGGCAGAGCAAAAATGATGCGTGGAACTTACGCAATAAATGCTTGTTCTACATTTGCGCCCCAATGGCCAATCCCGAATCGCGACAAGACAACTTGGAGCTGAAGCTGGAGAGCGGATTCTAGCTGAGCAGCAGGTTACGCCACTGGTTAAAGACATGCTGGATTAGTGAGCATACTCGGCGAGAGCTGACGAGGGGGACAGGTTCACCGTATGAGATCTGACGGCGGGAGCTCTTTCAGCCTCATCCCTGACACCGGCCACGCAGGAGGTTCCGAGCAGTTATACGGATTGAAAATCTGTGGGATACGTCCAATGCCAACCGGAGAGCATATACCGCCATCGAAGGTAGGTAGTAGCGAGCGGTGCTCTAGCGTGGATCCGCGAGTGGTGAGTTCCACTGTATATATTTGTGGCTGGTTGTAGTGTATGCTACGGTATGAGTAGTAGAATTGGAGGCCGACATTGACGAACGTATTCTTCGAACAACATGGGAATGAGGCGCGTACTCGAATTGCAGCTATTAATCTGAGCGTTGCCAGCGAAGGAAGAAACGGGGGACGCACCTGAGCATTATCTGAACCCCATAACCTTCTGACATGATACTTTCATCTACGGCGCAACTTCTCCCAGGGTTGGCGCAGATCCAAGGCCTTGCACATGGGACGTGTCTCAGCATCTAACGTTCAAAGGAAAAATATAGATTGATGTAACACATTGAAGGTACATGACTGCTGGTAAACCTGTTCAGCAGAAGTCAGATAGAGCAACATGAGTATACGCACCAAGCGTTCTACATAACAATCCGTTGGCGATAGTAGAAGCGCATAGCTCGCCTTCGACGTGCATCTGATTCATTCAGAGTCTTTAGTGGCACACGAGCCTGACGCCTACTGCCCTGGAGGGAGTGGTAAACGGTCAGCCTCAGGCTCGCGCTTTCCGCCTGAGGTCGACGTTCGTTCCATCAGCGGGCCCAAGGCGTGGATTGGGGTTGGTGTCGCGTCGGAGAGGAATAAAGGTTGTATGAGGAACAAGATGCGTGCATGGGCGTGATTCTGGGAGCAGGAGAGGATGGGTAACAACTAACAAGCAGGTGCGGGGAGTTATAAGCCCGTGACTTGCAACTTCGGCGTTCGCCAACCTCCAGCGGTAACCACCGGTGTTCGCCGGTGGCCATTGGTGTTTGCCGGCGGTCCTTGCCATATACGGGTGCGTCGCCGTGAGCGCTTGTGAACACCACCGTTCGTTGTCCACTGGAACCCATCGGAATACAGCAGCAACTGGTGAATATTGCTGTGTATCAGTGGCAAGTAGTGGGGTATGTTGGGATATACCAGTGTTCAGCATGTCATGCTGGCTGCCACTGGTATTTGGTTCGGTCGATTCACATGGCAGGTGGCAGACACCACCAAACACCAGTGACATCCACTGGCAGGCAGCGGCCACTATCCATCAGCATATGCTGTTTATTGTTAGTATATGTCATTGAATAATAATTTTTGGCATTTTTCACTGGTCTTTGGGTAGAAGTGTGCGACATTGGGCCATGGTGTGTGACTTGCTTTCCAGGTTGGGCTAACTCTCTTGAACAAATTGTTTTAAGACTAGTAACTGGCAGGTTTGGTCTCATGCTTTGTGCATAGATGGCTTATATTACACATATTCTCACTCAGAAAATATACATTTACCTGAGAATCACAACAACAAGGTTCATAGCTGTTGAAATATTAATGTGACTGCTGGCAGCCTGCCCCCACTGCCTGATAGCTCATTCCTGAACTTATAGAAAGTTTATAAAAAATCTCAGGAGCCTCTAACCAG